CAAAGCCCTGGTGAGACCCCACAGAGCTGTTGTGACAGTGGTGAGACCCCACAGAGCTCTTGTGAGGCCCCACAAAGCCCTGGTGAGACCCCACAGAGCTGTTGTGACAGTGGGGAGACCCCACAGAATCCTGATGAGACTCCACAGAGCCCTGGTGAGACCCCAGAGAGCCCTGTTAACAGTGGTGAGACCCCATAAACCCTTGGAGAGACCCCACAGAGCAGCTACACACATTTTAGCTATACCCTATGTTTGTTTATTGATATTTTTTATAAAGAATAATTGGTTACGAGACAAATAAAATTCTACAAACTGTGAATTCATATTTCATTATGATTTAAGGCTTGTCCTAATATATGCAATTTTTACAGTTAATTTTATCACTTGCTATTTTTTTCCATTATGGGGGGTGAGTTGGGCCTCATGTTTAAATTTCGCCTAAGGCCACGCAAACTCTAGAGCCGCCTCTGCCACTATGGCTGTTGAAATGTCATTGGGTGTCTTCACATCTAATGCAGGTCAAGGGACCTGCATAAGACGTGATGACATCAATGGTCCATAGACTGCAGGAGCAAAGGGGGGAAGAGGCTGCTGAAACTGGTTTAGCAGCTTGGAGAATCAGGTAAGTAAAGCAGCCTTATTAGTATCCCCTAGACAAAAATAGCACTTATCCCTTGTAGTGAGGGGGTAGCCTTACTGCAAGTGTAAGGTTTTTTTTTTTTGCCCAGAGATGGTCTTTAACACTCAACCCAACCCTAACAGGTAACTTAAAGCGGCACAGGCACAATTGCTTTGGTGTACTGTGATATGGGTAAAAACATACCTCTAATGCTGTTTATCCCACGTCTGGATCGCTGCTGGGTACAATAAAAATTGTACATTCATTTATGCTGGAAAGTACAGCTAGCTCCTTATTCCAGCTGTGGCTATGAAAACTGTGGCTCTCATAAAGAGAAGTGATTGTATCACTTATACATTCCTGCTCTCCCCTTGTTCATTCACAGAACACATTGTATCCTGTGAACCATTCACAGAATATAAGGTGTTCTGTGAATGGACAAGGGGTAAGGGGTAGTATAAACTACACATTTTGTCTCTGTATAAGAGCTGCAGTGACAGAAGCACTGCCCTGGTTATGCTTTCCAGGATGAATGAAAGTACAAGTATTACAGATACTGTATGTGCTCATACGAGGCATCTATACCATTCCTGACCTAGTTGGCTGTTTCTCTGATCTTGAACTATATTATGTTAAAGTATGGACCTGATTTCCTTAGTTTCTGGCACCCACTAATGTCTGTCTATGAGTATTTCTAAACCTACTGCTGACTTTTCTAGTCTCCCAACTAACAGTTTATCATTGATTTAGATTTTTTTTTATCACACGGCATATGTATTTGACTACACTGTGCCTGTACTCTATTACGTTGCTGACCAATGGCTTGTTAACCCAACCACACTCCTAACAGCTTAGTAAATGACTTTGTCTTAATCCCTTTCTGCTTATAAATTATGGACGTTCTCTGACTATTCTTGCTATTCTCTGCTCAGTACTTTAAAGCTGTTTTCTTGTTTCATTATTTCTGATTTTTGGCTGTTTCATTAAGCTCCTAGTTACCCTAGTTACTCTTGCCACTCACATTCTTATAGTGACAGTTAAGGAGGTTCATGAGAGGCCTGCATTCATCAAATCAGTTTTCAATCAAGGTAGATTTTAGAAATTCTACCTCTTTTTATTATTGTATAAGCCTGATGGAATAATCAATAATGTAGCATTAATATGTCATATACAGAAAAGGTATATTTATTTGTTTTTTGAATATGTGTTGAAGCTAAATAGATCTAGGATTGTAGGTGTTGGTGCTGTAAAATTTACAAATATTCCTTACCTAGTTCCTTTGCTTTCAGAGCAGCATCATTGATATAGTCCTGGGAACGACCATCAGTGAAAACAATGCCAACTTTAGATACACCAGGTCTTCCTCCATTGGAGATGGTAAAGGTGTTGTCAATTAGGTATTTGATAGCTTGGCCAGTCATGGTTCCTTTTTCCATGTAAGCCATCTTTTTCACTGCAGATTTAATATCTTTCTTATTGTTGAATCTGCCCAAGGGGAACTCTTGTCTTACTGAACTGGAGTACTGAACTACACCAACATGTGCCTTCTTATCTCCAACATCCAAAGATTCCACAACTTGGTTGATTAATTGCTTGACAAGGTCAAAGTTTTCTGGGCGCACGCTCTTGGATCCATCAATTACAAACACAAGATCAATAGCTGATGCACCACAAGCTAAGGAAGACAAAATATGTTGTCATGTCATGATAAAGATAGGAGCTTTACAGTATAAAACAGTGGACTCTTTAGGGACATAATCAAGGCTGGGTAAAAGATGAGTGGTACTCTATTTTTTATTTACCATTACAGGTCTTGCCATCTTCATTTAATGTGAATCCATCCCTGCAGGCACAAGTGTAAGATCCAGGAGTGCTGACACAGATTTGCTGACAGTCATGATCTCCAGTGGAACAGAGGTCAGCCATTTCTGAGCAAAAGAAGAGAAGCTAAGTACACACCCAAATGCAAATTTTTAGCTTAATACATAATGTATAAGCGTAGAAGATCTAAAATATGGGGTAACTTACCACAGAATGCTTCCTGAAACTTCTTACCGAGCTTCTGAATAACACTGTAACTCTCCACATAGTCTACATGTTCATCTAAGGGCTCACTGGCAATCTGACGAAGAGTGGTCAT